GCCACAAGGGAAACCCAAGGATACTGGAGTGGGTAGCCGATCCCTTCTCCAGCAGACCTGCGTTTTGGAGGACAGAACAAACGAGTCAACAGACTGATGACTGGGCGCCAATTTCTGACTATTGGAGAAAGAAGTCAATATGGAATAGGGAAAGGCTGGAAAGACTTGCTTGAAATGGAAGGTGTCAGCATTTACACACATACACACGAAGGACTGCTACCCTAGTAACAGAACAACGAGTGGTTTCCCCACTCCGAGGACTCAGGGCTCTGTAGTCTGTGGCTCCAGCACACAGTAAGATAAACCCAGGATCCTAGCGTGCCAGAAAACAAGGGTTCATACTGAGGGAGAGACATGGGGGAGAGGGGAAGGCTCTTCTAACGGCAGAGAGCCAACTGCTAAATGTAAACAGGATGATAGAGTAAGAAAGTCATCCTTTTGCCATCATCACAGTGATAATTGGTTCCGAGAAGAATGCAAAGACTAGAAGGTGAAGGTTATGATGAGAGTTGTTGTTACACAGTCCCAAAGATTTCCCCACAGATTAGTTATTAATTTCAAAGGCAAACAGCAATTTCATGCTGAAGAAATCTAGTAGTTATCAGTGTATCCAAGTGACTGAAGTCACCATCACTAATGAAACAGATGCATTGTTTTCTGTTCTAATGCACTGGGAACCATGCATCACTCATAACACTCATGTGACAAATGTTTAACGTGAAACTATGAGGACTCAAAGCCCCAGTTAGGAACATCCTATAAAATAACTAGCCTGTGCTCTTCAAAAAGACCAGTTTGATGGAAGACAGAGAAAGGCTGCGGAACTGATCCAGATTTAAAGACTAAAGAACATGATAATCAAATGCAGGTTATGACACATCTTTAGATCTGGAAATAGGGGGAAAATGTTACACACACACACACACACACACACACATATGTATGTATGTATGTATGTGTGTGTGTGTGTATATATAGGGATAACTGGAATTTGAATAAACTGTAGATTAGAAAATGTTGTAGCAATGTATGATAGTCTTATTATGTGTGCAAATTCTTTGACATTCCTCACCTCAGGTGGGGTCCATATCCCCTCCGCTTGCTCCTGGCTGGCTTTTGTGACTGTCTCAACAGACTGACTGACATTATTACTTCCGTGGTCAGATCAGCAAAGGCCATAGTGCTTCCGCCGATTTTTCTCAGCAGACTCTCAGCTCCTTGTACTGTCCAGTTACTGTGATGTGGTCATGCTGGAGGCCACAGATTTGTAAAGACAGGCCAAGGCTGCCTGGGTTCTCAGTTCAGCTATTAGGTAAATAGGTTTGCTTGCAGTCACATTACTCAAAAAAAGTATATTTGAGATTTCTATTTTTCTTCTGAGTGTTTAGAATGAACTACTCTAAAAACATTTCAAAAAATTAAAAATGTACAGTAATGCCCTTAGGTATCTGATATATCTATGACATATATGTATGATATGTATATGATCTAGTTACCTTTAAAGGGAGGGTATTATGTGAAACTTATTCCATACAAAATTCTATGTCTCTGTGCCCACTTTCCCCAGGATATTCGGCATACCTACTAATGTCAGTAACTGTGAATCTACCTTTTCCCATTGGGTGTTGTATCACATTCCATCGAATGGATAAGCCACAGATTGTTTTGTCAGATCCAGCTGATGAATGCAGCACATGCTGTTACCAATGATGTGAACGGTGAACACCCTTCTATGTACATCTGTGACACAGGTTTACATGCCATGAGATAAAGCAGTTAAGATTCAGCTGTAAGGGATTTTCATTCAGTAATTTTGCTGTCCCAGTTTTACTGCTTTGGTAAAATGGGTAATGGTTACTATAAAATAATTTTTCAAAAAGCAGTGCTAAGGGGAAGATTCATAGCATTACAGGCCTACCTCAAGAAACAAGAAAAAAGTCAAATAAATAACCTAACTCTACACCTAAAGCAACTAGAG